CAGAAACTTACCCTCAGTAAAAGGAACACAGGGCCATACCACCTACATGAAGCTCTGCCTGGCCTCTTTCTTACTAAGAGGAAGTTGACTAGACACAATTGTGCTCAGAAACTTTCTTCCTGTTTGCAAGTAGGCTGGGAATTTTGGGCGTCTTATGTTCCATGATCAGCTTTCCATGAGTCACAGTAGTACCAGTGCACAGCAAGGGATCCATTTCTATCAGTCGGGGTATTAGGGTTTTTTGGAAATGGGCCAAGGAGAAATTTAGAAAAGAAAAAAATATATGGTCACAGTTTGAACTTTTTAGGGCATCATTTACTTTGTTTCCTAAAAGCAACATCAGATATACTTGATTCGTTTCTAAATCGATAACACTGGCTTACTGAGTGCACTGTCCAGTTCATTAATTGCTTCTTCTTCCTAAAATTCAATGGGGACATTAAGTCTTTCATGATTAACTTTTCAAACATCTGACATTTGCAGCCTACTTTTTTAAACCCTTTTATTTTCTTGACATTTTTCCATGACATCTATCCCTCATATTTTACTATACTTAATAATACATACATACATACACATACATACATACCTAAAGACTGCAATCATGGAATTTTCTTTTTTTTTTCTTCCTTTCTTTCTTTCTTTTTTTTTTTTTTTTTTTTTGAGACAGTCTCGCCCTGTCATTCCAGACTGGAGTGCAGTGGTCACGATCTCCTCACTGCAGCCTCCGCCTCCCGGGTTCAAGGGAATTCCACCTGTCTCAGCCTCCCAAGTAGCCAGGACTACAGGCATGCCATCTCCTGGCTAATTTTTGTATTTTAGTAGAGACGGGGTTTGTCATGCTGGAAGGCTGGTCTCAGCTCCCTGACCTCCAAGTGATCTGCCCTACCTTGGCCTCCCAAAGTGTTGGGATTACAGGTGTGAGACACCATTCCAGCCTCTTTTTTGAGTTGGAGTCTTGCTCTGTCACCCAGGCTGGAGTGCATTGGCGCGCCTGTGGCTCACTGCACGGCTCACCTCCCGGGTTCAAGCTTGTGATTCTCCCGCCTCAGCCTCCCAAGTAGCAGGCGTGTTGCCACCACGCCGACTAATTTTGTATTTTTAGTAGAACCAGGGGTTTCACCATGTTAGTCAGGCTGATCTCAAACTCCTGACCTCGTGATCCACCCCCTCAGCCTCCCAAAGTGCTGGGATTACAGGCGTGAGCCACTGTGACCCGGCATGGCGTGGATTTCTGCAGCGTGGCCATCTCCACCAGCACTGAGTGCTTTGTCAGTGTTGAAGGTTTTCACCAATATAGTAATGTAGTGGTATCTCATTATTTTAATTGGCGTTTCCTAATGGCATGATGTAGATCACTTGTTTCATATGCTTACCATATGTTTCCTTCTTTGATGGGGTTTCTGTTCAGATCTTTTGTCATTATTTAACTGAAGTTGTTCATTTTTCTTATTTTTTGAGTTTTAAGAATTATTTGTATATTTTGATAATTGTCTTTTATCACATATGTCTTTTGCAAATATTTTCTCCCAGTCTGTGGCTTACAGTATTATATCTGTGTTGGCAGCTAGCAGCTTTTTGTTCTCTTAATGGCGTCTTTCCCAGATCACATTTTTGGCCATTGTTAGTGATAGCACTTGTCATTTTTTCTTTGATTGTGCCTTTGGTGTTTGACATATAAAAGTTATCTCCAAACCCAAAGGTTTTCAGATTTTCTCTTGTCATTGTTTCTAATAGTTTTATGGTCATAGCAGTTTTTAAAAGATGGTTATTAGTGTATTGCTAAAATAATTGTTAAATGAAATAAATCGGAATAAAGTGATGTTATGTTTAGCAAAATTCATTTGCAGATATATTTCCTGAGGAAATTATACTTATATATAAAATATTTAGTTTTCCTCACAAGTCCTTTTATATAGATATAGATACAGAACTGAAGTTTTGTAGAGACAAGAGTTACTATGTTGCCCTCGCCCGAGTTCAAACTCTTGAGCTCAGTGATTGTCCCCACCTCAGCCTCCCAAAGTGCTGGAATTACAGGTGTAAGCCACCATGCCTGGCTAGAAAATTCTGCTACAAAAGAAATATAAAACAAACATATTCTAATATCTGTTTCTTGTAATATAAATACAAATTATTTAAATTTCTGGCTCCATATCTTTTTCCATAGTTCTTAACATGTCACAGAAGTAGAAACAATAAAAAAGCATAAGTAAAATACACATTTTTACATTTGTTTTATACAACAGTTCATTGCAAATATACAAATGCAGTAGAAGTTTGTTTGCATGGTCTATAAGCAATGTTATATTGATTATCTATGTCACTTTTTGATCATTACATTGTAAAGACTAAAGTTCCCTTGACCTTTGTTGTCTCATTAAAGGCCACATGTTTTGAGATGACATGGTTGCTCACACCTGTAATCCCAACACTTTGGGAGGTTGATGCAGGGAGATTTCCACACCAAGGCCAGGAGTTTGGGACCAGCCTGGGCAACGTAACCAGACCATGTCTCTGCAAAATGTAAAAATTGGCAAGATGTAGTGGTGCATGCCTGTAGGTTCTATCCATGAGGAGCCTGAGGTAGCAGGATCAGTTTGAGCCCAGGAATTCAAGGCTGCAGTGAGCTAGGAACACACCACTGTATTCCAGTCTGAGTGACAAAGTGACACTTTGTCTCAAAAACATAAAAGAAAAACCAAATTTTAGTATAGTTTTAAGTTCTCATGAAAAACTGAATAGAAAGTTATATTACAGAAAAATCATTCCATTTAAAGCCAATAAGTTTATTTATGATATATCTACTAAATGAGGTTAATTGATGAAAACTAGTATTTAGATAGAAAACTTTAAAGAGATGAACACTGTAATTTCTGTTTGATGCAAAAGAAATGAAAAATGGAAATTTTTTTCATTTTCTCTACTCTTAGTTATTTTTGCCTTTCTGTGAAATATAACTGTTAGAATATAAATCACCTGCCCTGCGTGATAAATTGGGAGCCATCATTCAACTGTTATCCACAGAGATCCACAGAGTTTGCTGTGTCGCTCAAACAACGTTTTCCCTGAAAATGATTAAAAGCTGTTCATTTGGAAGATGATCATTGAGAGTGCCAAAGGAGTTTGTCCCAAGTTGTACTTCATAAATCATATGCTTTGTAATATGACAATAGATATCATTAAATATGAGTATCAACTGCAGAAGACGAACTAGTCATGATTAAACTAGTCATGATTATTCTTTTAAAAGATACATCTCATTCCTCTCACTGCAAAGTTTGACCCACAGAAGGAGGAGGTGACCAGTCCTTAGGGGCCTACCACGCCAGCTTGTCCAGCAGATACTAAAAAGGAAGACAGCTTCCACTTTTATTTTCTTCTTTGTTAACAGAATTTCAATTTCAAACAAATGGAACACGCCTAATTAGCATTGACCAAATATATTTTCATTTTCTCTTTGTGGAGAAGTAAGCAACTCCATCTTGAATTACTGTCCACCATGTTGACTTCTGATTAACCAGTTCTAGGAATGCCTCTAAAGGTTACTACTTAATCTCTACTCTTAGAGCATGTACTTGCTGTAAATCCTGCACAGTTAAACAAATTACTGCAATTGGCTTTCTGTGGTATATAGCCTAGGTCTAGGGATAATAGTGTGAGGATCCACCCAGCTCATCTCAGGGCATCTCCCATCTCAAGCGGCTGTTCATGATCCCTATTAATTTTTTCTTTTCTGAGAAACTAGATTGCTGGCCTCTTTCTTCAGCCTGTCAACATCCTTGACTTTTTTGAGGGTGAATTTACAGAGAATTGTAACCACCCAGTGGAACACATTTTCAAAAAGCTAACAACTTTTCTTCCTCCTTTCAATGTGTGGCAAGTTTCTCACAAATTTTCAAGATTTTGCAATGACTTGAATTAAATCTCTTTTGGATAGTATTTGCTCTACATGCGGCATGGACCTCAAAATCAATAGCAGGGTAATTTTTCATCAAAATGCATTTACATTACCTTGTAAAATAGATGGCCTTATAAAATAGAGACAGATCCTGTAAGTAGGAGAGATAAATCTGGAAGCATATTCATATTTCCTCCGTATGTTTCACGGTATACTATTAACCTGTACTTACTGATGTTGAAGTAGGTGGATGCATTCTATCAGCAGAAAACTTCCATCATGTGGATAATACATTGTAATCATATCTTCATCCCTGGATATACTAAGACCTCTTTTAGAAGTTTTTATTTGGATACTTCTTCTGAATGAAGTATATTCGCTATCACCCTTTTGGTTTTCAGTTATGACTGATTTTAACTTGCACATAGTTAAAGAAGGTATAATACTTCATAATGTATATGCAGCACGATGGTGGTTTTTTCATGCGGGTTGCACATGCAAACAATTGCCATTTCATAATGTTGTACTACTTCATTTAGTGTTCTTGGCTGTGCCATTGTCAAATGTGGCCTCAAAAGTAATGCACAGGCTGGGCACGGTGGCTTACTCCTGTAATCCCAGCATTTTGGGAGGCCAAAGCAGGTGGATCACTTGAAGTCAGGAGTTTGAGGCCAGCCCAGCCAGCATGGTGAAACCCCGTCTCTACTAAAAGTACAAAAATTAACTGGGTGTGGTGGTGAGCAACTGTAATCCCAGTTACTTGGGGAGCTAGCAGAAGAATCGCTTGAACCTGGGAGGCAGGGGTTGCAGTGAGCCAAGATCATGCCACTGCCCTCCAGCCTGGGCAGCAGTGAGACTCTTTTTTTTGAAAAAAAAAAAAAAAAAAGAAGAAAAAAAAGTATTGCACAGAAGCGTTTCAGCCCACGGACCAAACATTAAAAGCAGTACATGTGCACTTTGCAATTTCTAGGAAACACTAATTAGGAATTTCCAATAGAGAGCAGTGATTTTCAATTGAGTTGCCAGCCCCAAATTGTCAGTCTTGATGGCCACATTATGCATACAAAGGTTAGAAAAAGAGAGTTACCAGTGTACTTACCGCCAATAATGAAAATGCTACGCATTCTTGCGATGACCTGGTGGTGGTAGCTAAACTGCATTCCTAAGAGGTTTTCATTCTGTTCTTTAGAGTGTGTGTTGCCTTCTGTATTGCATGTTGCATTTCTAATATCAAGTCTAATCCAATCTTGTCTTTTAAAATATTTATAAAGCTCCAATGTAGGAGATGTTTCAACTGGCAGTGCATTTTCATTTCAGTAGCCGGACTCTCCTTATTCTCATTGCTCAACTATCGTCTGGACAGGAGTGCAAACTAGTGTGTATGGACACAGTTTGCAGACACCAACAAATGATCCCTTACCAGGCAGATTTCCAACACAAATTTTCCTCTTCCTTTCTGTGCAAGTCACAATATTTCAAGGCTACCAGCCTCTACATTCATTGGGCTCAGCTCTCTAAGCTGCCACTCCTATAGCAAAGAAATTCTGCAACCACCTCAGCGTCTCCCAGGGCATCTTCCAAGGCCAAGGGCTGCCTCTGAGCTCTTGTTTTCAAAAAAACTTGGGCCCTTGCTCCATAGCAGTAATGAAGACAAAGCCAAGTCTTCACTCTACCTCCACTGCTCTCTTATTGCTACAACATAACAAAAAAGTCATGCATGAGTTGGGAATTTGAGAAAGACTTGTGCAGTCAATTATCCTATACTGTGATAGCAAAGTTCAAAAGAAATCTAGCTACCTTGTAAAAAGAAAAATTTTCTAGAGAGGAGATTGTACTGTGTAGTGGTTTGAAATATTCTGTAGTCAGATTGCCTGGGTTCAATCTTTACTTTGTCATAATGGCTCTTGAAAACTACTGAACTACATTGGGTATCAATTCCCATATAGGAAAAAGGAGTACTAGTAATAGTACCTGTCTCTAGATTCATTGTTTTCATCAAGTGATTAATGTATATTTTAGGACAGTAAGAGGCATATATGAAGAATTAAGTAATTATTAGCTATCATTATTAGTTTATAGTTTAAAAGTAACTCTCCCGGGGTCCATATATTAGATGATTCGATGCTCATTTACAACACTGATATTTTTATGTTTACTTCTTGCATTATATATGAGGCTAGGTCAACAGCAAGTTATATGTTTGCTTGTTTGTTTAATATACTGGGCATTCAGGAGAAATATTCAATAAAGGGTACCAATCAATTCAACTTTTAAAGTTAAGTATCAAACTTACTTCCTGTAAACAACAATTTCCTCAGCTTTTCAAACCGAAAAGAATCATTTTCTATTTTGTGCCTCTATCACACTATTTTTCTTGTTAGTCTAACGATTACAGAGGTAATCACCCCCAAAGAGACACAATACTTGTGTCTTTGTCTCTGTAAGCTGGTGAGATTAGAAAAAGTGCTTTATTGTTTAAATGTCAAGCAACTAAAGAGTGTCTGTGCAAAGAAAGTGAGTTGAATTAAGTACTATGTGTTATTGACATCCCCTTCTCATAGAGGTATTCCCACAGAAGCTGGATACATTATCTATACATTATAGTAATTAAGAAGCTCATCTTTAGAGCCTGACTATGCAAATTTATACCCTAGCATTTGTCTATTCACTTGTTTGTTGTAAAGGAAGACAAATTTCTTGGCCTCTGGCATCTCAATTTCTCATATGTAAAATCAGAGAGTAATAATATGTAGAATGACTTTAAAGATTAAACATTATATATAAAGACCATTAGGAGCAGTAATTGATGGTGTGAGTTCTAAATACAAGTTTGCTATTTCCCAGAGGCTCTGGAGATGGAATTTCTGCCTGTGTGGGTCATTTTGTCTCATGTTTGGCAGAATCTTAGAAACCCATTAAGTGTATGTTTATATGAAAAATTTTTTGACTTATGTGAACTTCTGACCTTTTAATTGTTTATTGACATAAAGCAATTATGTGAAATGAGCAATTTTAATTTCCATTTCATGGCTGACCATTACAACTGCTTGACTGCACTAGCTCTTGTTTAAAGGGCATGAGAAGTTCAGAGTGGTGTGAACTGAGAAAAATATTTCTTATTTCCTTGTGAGATTATATTTAATATAGTAGAGTGAAAAATAGGACTAAATAGCACTTAAATAATTTCAACATTTAATATGCAAAGCTGAATTATAAAGATAAGGGCTAAAGAATACTTTGTTGAACCTTGTTATGAAAATGATGCACCTTTTAAGCTAAATTACCTGCCCACTTCAGAGGAAAACAACCCCTTGAAGAAATACACTACTATGAATTTCTTTCTTTCATTCCTTTTTTTTTTTTTTTGAGAAGGAGGCTCGCTCTGTCTCCCGAACTTGGAGTGCAGTGGTATGATCTTGACTCACTGCAACCTCGCCTCTGGATCAAGCAATTCTCCTGCCCCAGTCTCCTGAGTAGAAGCTTTGGGATTACAGGCACCATACCATTTCCCCCTGCTACTTTTTGTATTTTGGTAGAGACGGGGTTTCACCATGTTGACCAGTCTGGTCTCAGACATCCTGACCTCAAGTTATCTGCCTCACCCGGCCTCCCAAAGTGCAGGGATTATAGGCACGAGCCAGTCTGCCCCACTGCCGCTGTGAATTTCTGGTTTCCCATGACTTTCAGACTGGGATAAATTATCTTTAATTTCACTCACATTGGAACCATGTTACTTAAAACATATTACGTCTCGTTAAAACCATGTACTGTGATAGGTTACCACCTTCACCATCTGGTGATCTCACCCTACCCCTGGAGGAGCACTCACTGCAATATGTAGAAAATGCATGGGATGGGGGCGGAGCAGTGGCGGGGCCGGAGCAGGCGCTCTTGAGGCTTCTCATGAAACATACTAAGCATTTGGCCGGTGCCTTTCCACTCAGAGATGATTTAATTAGAGCAATTTAGGAATCTTGGTTTCTTTGCTTTTTTTTTTTGAGACAGAGTCTCACTCTGTCACCTAGGCTGGAGTGCAGTGGCGTGATCTTGGCTCACTGTAACCTCTGCCTCCCAAGTTCAAATCATTCTCCTCCCTTAGCCTCCCAAGTAGCTGGGATTACAGGCACATGCCACCCATGGATAGCTAAATTTTGCATTTTAGTAGAGACGGGGTTTCACCATATTTGTCAGGCTGCTCTCGAACTCTGACCTCATGATCCTGCCCTTTTAATTTCTCACTTAGTGCTGCGATTACAGGTGGACGCTGTGCCGGTCCCTTGGTTTCTATTATGTGGAAATACAGAAGGGGACTCTGGAGCTAGTGTTCACACCCTCTGTGGGAGCACATGGGGTGGTCCAGTGTCAATCCCTCTCTCACCCTACAAGGCAGCAGTGGGTGCAATTTCTATGATGATGCCCCTCACTTCCCCTCTTTCCCTCTCTCCCTTATTATCAGAATAAAGGTGATGTTCTAAAGGAAAAGGCATGACTGCAGGGTCTTTCTTTAGCAACCAGAGACTCTCTGCATGTCAGTACTAATTAGGTGAAACCAACTCTGGAAGAGAGAAATGCCTGATATTACACAGAGGTAGCCTTTCCAGGGTTTGGCAGGCCATCAGTGCTGCAGGTGGGAGAACACAAGATAGAGAGCATCTTGACCTGGAGCCAATACAAGATCCTTAGCAGGCCAGGCACGGTGTCCCACTCCTGTAATCCACCAGCACTTGGAGGCCAAGGTGGGTGGATCACCTGAGGTCAGGAGATCGAGACCAGCCTGGCCAACATGGTAAAACCCAGTCTCTACTAAAAATACAAAAAATTAGCTGGCCGTGGTGGTGGGCGCCTGTAGTCTCAGCTACTCAGTGATCTCAGCTCACTGCAAGCTCCACCTCCTGGGTTCACTCCATTCTCCTGCCTTAGCCTCCCGAGTAGCTGGGACCACAAGCGCCCGCCACCATGCCTGGCTGGTTTGCCGTATTTTAAGTAGAGACGGGGTTTCACGTGTTGCTGGGATGGTCTCGATATGCTGACCACCATTGATCCGCCCACCTCGGTCTCCCAAAGTGCCGGGATTACAGGAGTTAGCCACCACGCCCAGCCCCTTCCTCTCATCTTCTATAACATATTTGATTGCTGGCAGGCGACTTACAATATCGCGAGTTCCTCCCAGTCATTCATTTCCTCCCCCTTTTCCTTCAATTGTGCACCTCCCACCCAAATCTACTCCAAGTAGAGCAAAAAGAACAAAGATGAGTCATCAAAAATTTTTTCTCCCATTGTTAACCAACTAATTGTGTGATCATCGTTAAATTATTTCACCCTTCTGTGCCTCAATGTTGCCATCTTTAAAATGAAGAGCTTGAAAACTTGATAATTCTTAAGTTCCTCTCAGGCTCAGCTTCTTAGGATTCCTATTATTAAATATATTCATGCCAGCACTTTGGCTTTCCAAAGTGCTGGGATTATCATGTATTCCAAAGATAAGATACAGACATAACTTGAGTTCAGGAGTTCAAGACCAGCCTGGGCAACATAGCAAGACCCTGTCTCTACAAAAATATAAAAATTGTTGGCTGAGCATGTTGGTGCACAACTGTGTCTCAGCTACTTAGGGAGGCTGGTAGGAGGATCACTTAGGTCTGGGAGTTCAGGGCTGCTGTGAGCTCAGATCATGCCACTGCACTCCAACCTGGGTGACAGAGTGAGACCCTGTCTCAAAAAAAACAAACAAAAAAAGTTCGATGCGTAAATCTGGTAAACAATACAGGTGTCCCTTTGCATCAAGAAGCTTATCATGTAATGAGAATATAGACAAGTAAACAGGTAATTATGAAAAAGTCTCGCATTAACAAGGGAAAGTATGGGAGTCTATTAGCCTGCTGAAGCAGTTTAAGTAGGTCTCATCTAGTCTTGATTATAGTTATAAATGAAGCAAATTTGTTATATCTTAGCTTTTGCATTTTTATTTATTATGAAGAATATTTATATCTTAGCCATTTGTATTTATTTGATTTTAATCATTTTATTCCAATGATAAGATACAGATTATAAAACTTCTACTATAATTACGCATAATTACCTTTTGTTTGTTTTCCACAAGAAATGCAGAACAAATGCGAGTCTT